CGCCAGGACGATGCACTCTGTGGCGTTTCCCTTTTCTAAGATGAGTTGAGATTTTTCATGGCGGTTATTTTGGGGGGGGGGGGAGTGTGATGGGTGGGTGTCTGCCTTTGCTGTTCGTGTCACTGCCACAATACGGAGGCGTACTTTCAACACGAAGCGGTGTGTGTGGGTGCGTCGGTGTGTGTGTGTCGGGGGGGGGTGTGGGTGGGGCGTGGTGTGCTGTGTCCTCGAGACGCCGGCAGGCCGGCCGGAGCCCACTTGGGCTCCAGGCCGAGGGAGCGGCGGGTCGACCAGCTGGCCGGGCCTTCCTTGCTTGGTTTGCATCGAGTGGGCTGTTGGAAGGACTTGCGTGACGAGGTCGAGTTCGCCTGGGCGTGCCGAGTCGCCAGTATGACCCGTTCTCTGGCGTTTACGTTTTCTTCTTAAGATGCGTTCAGTTTCTTCGTGGCGGTTATGTATGTGGGTGGGTGATGGCTCTCTGCCTTTGCTGTTCGTGTCACTACCACAATACGGAGAGGTACTTTCAACATGAAGGGTGTGTGTGTGTGTGGGTCTGTCCGTCTGTCCGTCTGTCTGTCTGCCTGCTGTGTGTGCTGTGTGCTCGACCCGCCGGCCGGCTGCAGACCACTTGGACTGCGGGCCGAGGCAGCGGCGGGTCGACCAGCGGGCCGGGCCGTCCTTGCTTGGCCTCCAACGAGTGGCCTGAGGGACGTGTGTCTGGAGGTCGAACTGGCCTCAGCGGGCCGAGTCGCCAGTACGATGCGCTCTGTGGCATTTCCGTTTTCTCTCTAAGATGCGTTGAGATTTTTCATGGCGGCTACTGGGGGGACGGGGGGGTGATGGGTGTCTGCCTTTGCTGTTCGTGTCACTGCCACAATACGGAGCGGTACTTTCAACATGAAGGGGTGTGTGTGTGCGGGGGTGTGTGTGTGGGGTGTGTGTGTGTGGGGGGGTGTGTGTGTGGGGGGGGTGTGTGTGTGGGGGGGGTGTGTGTGGGGGGTGTGTGGGGGGTGTGTGGGTGGGGGTGGTGGGGTGTGTGTGTGGGTGGGGGTGGTGGGGTGTGTGTGTGGGTGGGGGTGGTGGGGTGTGTGTGTGGGTGGGGGTGGTGGGGTGTGTGTGTGGGTGGGGGTGGTGGGGTGTGTGTGTGGGTGGGGGTGGTGGGGTGTGTGTGTGGGTGGGGGTGGTGGGGTGTGTGTGGGGGTGTGTGTGTGTGGGGGGGGTGGGGGTGTGTGTGGGGGGGGGGGGTGGGGGTGTGTGTGTGTGGGGGGGTGGGGGTGTGTGTGTGTGGGGGGGGGTGGGGGTGTGTGTGTGTGTGGGGGGTGGGGGTGTGTGTGTGTGGGGGGGGTGGGGGTGTGTGTGTGTGGGGGGGGGTGTGTGTGGGGTGTGTGTGTGTGTGTGTGTGTGTGTGTGTGTGGGGTGTGGTGTGATGTGTGCTGTGTGCTCGAGCCGCTGGCCGGCCGGCCGGCTGGCCGGACAGCTGGAGCGCACTTGGGCTCCGGGCCGAGGGAGCGGCGGGCCGACCAGCTGGCCGGGCCTTTCTTGCTTGGCCTACATTGAGTGGGCTGTGGGAAGGACTTGCGTACCGAGGTCGAGTTCGCCTGGGCGGGCCGAGTCGCCAGTATGACCCGTTCTCTGGCGTTTACGTTTTCTTCTTAAGATGCGTTCAGTTTCTTCCTGGTGGTTATGTATGTATGTATGTATGTATGTGTGTGTGTGTGTGTGTGTGGGTGGGTGGGTGGGTGATGGCTCTCTGCCTTTGCTGTTCGTGTCACTGCCACAATACGGAGGGGTCCTTTCAACATGAAGGGGGTGTGTGTGTGTGTGTGTGCGTGCGTGCGTGTGTGTGTGTGTGTGCCTGCCTGCCTGCCTGCCTGCCTGCCTGCCTGCCTGCCTGCCTGCCTGCCTGCCTGCTGTGTGTGCTGTGTGTGCTGTGTGCTCGACCCGCCGGCCGGCTGCAGACCACTTGGACTGCGGGCCGAGGGAGCGGCGGGTCGACCAGCGGGCCGGGCCTTCCTTGCTTGGCCTCCATCGAGTGGCCTGAGGGACGTGTGTCTGGAGGTCGAACTGGCCTCAGCGGGCCGAGTCGCCAGTACGATGCGCTCTGTGGCATTTCCTTTTACTCTCTAAGATGCGTTGAGATTTTTCATGGCGGTTACTGGGGGGAGGGGGGGGTGATGGGTGTCTGCCTTTGCTGTTCGTGTCACTGCCACAATACGGAGCGGTACTTTCAACATGAAGGGGTGTGTGTGGGGGGGTGTGTGTGTGTGTGGGGGGTGTGTGTGTGGGGGGGGTGTGTGTGTGTGGGGGGGGGTGTGTGGGGGGGGGTGTGTGTGGGGGGTCTGTGGGTGGGGGTGGTGGTGTGTGGGTGGGGGTGGTGGGGTGTGTGTGGGGGTGTGTGTGTGGGGGGGTGTGTGTGTGTGCGGTGTGTGTGTGTGTGTGTGTGTGTGTGGTGTGGTGTGATGTGTGCTGTGTGCTCGAGCCGCTGGCCGGCCGGCCGGCTGGCCGGCCAGCTGGAGCGCACTTG